GGTGTACCTAATAAAGTGGCCGGTGAGTGTATATTTCAACAAGAAGGAAGCTGAGCGTTGTCCTATTTTTTATTTTTATTTTTTGTTAATATGTGACTGGTAATGTCTCAGACTGCTTGGTCCTGATCTCTGACTCTGTTTTTCCAGTCCAGTCCTTAAATGTATTGAGCTGTCAGAGTATTCCAGGAATGTCTGGCTGGTCCCCTTTTTTAAATGTTTTTATTTCCACAAACCAAGAAGAGATTTTTACTAGAATTTATAATTTCACAGATGGCTTCATCTAATTTTTATGTGTTTCTCTGGAAACAGAAATCACAGTTAAATTGATCCACTGCTCTGATGGATCACGTTTCCTCTGATTTTCTTAAAGATTTCATTTCCATATGCTGTTTTAGTTCTTCTTTCATCAGAGGGTGAATGTTAGCATGGGTGTACCTTTCAGCTTTTCACGTTTCAGGTTAACAATTCCAAAATCCAGAGGGAAACTGGCTTGGAATACAAAACGCTCTCTTGTGCCTCAGCTCTCAGTTTGGCATTATTATGCTGAAATGTCTTCAATAAGATATTACGATAAATTGTCTTGATTTCATCCCGACTCTGTTTCTTAAAACACAGAATTTCCTGAGTCCCCTCCCCCTACACTTGGACGCCCCGTTTGTGCCAAACATACTGAAACTGTTAAGCACACTGGCTCTTTTAGCAACCACAGGGGTGAAGTATGATGGGTTTCAAAGAGTAGCACACCTCTTTGAAGTGCTGCAGCCGGGATCTAACAGGTATGCTGCATCAGCATTCTCAGAACTTGTGTCTGACTCCTGCGCGTGGATAATCAGGAGGCTTRGAACCATCCAGCATATCCTCGTATACCCACACTTAACACAGTGATCGCTTCCTGGGTTTGAATTCTTGGTACTTTTATGATTATTTTTATTTAAAGCACTTGTGAAGTGATGTGAGATATTTGTAAAACTCAGATGGCAGGCAGTCAAACTTGCAGAGGTCAGTGTAATGCATTAAAAAATGATTTCGGCAACTGAGAGAACTCCTAGTTTTACTCTTTGGAAGTATTATACAACATGGTTAGAAAGTGCTTTTTATTGCTTTGGTTTGCTGGAGCCAGTTGTGGTAATAACAAGTTTWAGTGGTTCTTAACAAGTTAGCCATGTGAAAATCCAGCTTAGTTTAAGCTCTCCTCAATTATTTAAAATGATTTTCTCCAAATATGTTGTATTTCTGCCTCAGCTCTATTAAATTTTATTAGTAACTCTTTTTTTTAAAATGTTTGTGAATTGAAAAAATGTCTTGTAAGACAAATTGCTCTCAAAGTTCTGATTTTGATACAGATTCTGAAAATGAGAAATATCAATACAGAACATTTGTTAATATACAGTATTATATGTCTTGGTAGGAAAATTGTTTTGGTGGTTTTTGTTTTATCACGTTTTTCTTTATAATAGAAACTCCTATTCGTTAAGGATTTTGTGAGTGTACGTTTTTTAAACCAACTGACTGATCAGAGGAACTCCAGTGAAAAAGTCATTCTTCTTCTGATGAGAATCAAAGTCCCTCAAAATTGGTCTGGTGTCTCCGTTTCTTTGCACTCAAAAGAAGAAAAGGTTTTATTTGCTCTGATTGGAGCCAGATGTAGTGGGAGAAAGGAGAATCCTTTAGGTAAGAATGACTGTAATGAATTCCAGTGAATTGATTTGGTTTTCTGGCAAAACCAAACACCGTTACAGTTGAACTGATTGGGATCAAGAAATATTGTCAGTTTTTTTATCTGTTGTTATAAACTTAGCACAGAAAGTAAGGAAATAATGTTTAGTAGATTATTTATTTTTTGAAACTTCTTGGCAATAAATCTTATACTGAACACCCGATTGTCAGCACAAGCTCGCAGAAGCTCAGAACAAGAGTCAATAGCAATAAGCAGTTTGGCAGAGAAGATTAGACAAATTTTTCACATACACAACTCATACACTCAGCTCTACTGCTCATCCCACAAATGCATGTTCCTTACAAATGTGACACCATTTGAAAGTGAAATAACAGGCTTTCTAACAGAATATGATTTATTACCAAGAATCTTTGTTACAACAAAGAAATGATGTACCTAACACAAATGTTCTTACTTYTTGTTCTAAGTTTGCATTACATATACAGTTCACAATTAYGATTATTTTTGATTTTCATCTAAATGAATTGTAGCCATTTTATAAACAAATGTTTCTTTATTTTAACATCATCATTTTTGTCTTTGCATCAAACTGTCTGTTGTGTTAGTAACAGAATATATGTTCAGAATAAATAAAAACATTATCACAAATTTTACCATACATCAAACTGAATTTGTCTTAAAGACATAACTTATTTATGGGGCACCAAGTGTAAAATTAAATGTTAAAAGTTTTAACATATTTTTCTTTATTTAGCTCACTTTTTGAGTGTTAAAAATTTTCCACTAACGTTTTATTGTTAATTAGCTCACTCTTCTTACATTTAGCTAATTTTTACTAAATGTTAAATTTAAATGTTAAAAATATATTTAAATATTAAATCCTAAATCTAAATGTAATCGTTAAATCTTAAATGTTGAAGTTCACATTTAGGTATTTTGGAATGGAACTCAGCATATATATTTAGCAGCACGTTAACAACCATTGTTGGTGTTTGTTGCAGTGTGATGACATCATCCTGGTCATTAGATGCTAACTTCTGCTAATGCTTCTAACACTGCTAAAGATGATATTTAAAATCTAAATTCAAAATGTGTCCATAAAGAACAATATGGGAGGTACGTGTGGTCCAGCAGTTGGAAGTGCAGCTCAGACACCAGCCATAACTGCAAGTTTGATGTCTTTTAGGGAAGCTTTAGCTACATTGGCTGTGTCCAAAACGGCAGGACGGGTCCTCCGAAGGTCGAATTCGTCAGCTGCATACGTCACAGCGCCGCGACGAAGGMCGTCCAAAACCGAAGACTCCTCCGATGCGGCCGACAAATACGTCCTTCTTTTGGCCCGAATCAAAGGACAGGTCTGATGGATCCTTCCCGGCCCAGCATATCCCATAATGCATTGCGGCCCGGCTGGAGATTTTTTTAATGTTAGTAATGGCGGACGAAGCGAGAGAAAAGAATACGTTTTAAATAAAAATATGGTGATATAAAAATTAAAAGAAATTGTAATTCTAATACTTTTATCATTTGTATGGACATGTTTTTAAATATTATTTTTTCATCATAAAAAACGCGAAATAAACATGAACCTACAGTGGGTCAATTAGTTCTTCAAATGATACTTTTAAGTTAATATTATAGTTTTGTGATATTAATAATGCTAATGTATTGATAATTTTCTAGTTTTGATTTAAGTTTGCTTGTTTAGCGTCGTCACAGTTGCTAGGTGACAAGACGTACGCCGGGGTGGAGGGTAGGCTAGACCGTCCAAATTCACAGACACTTTTTTTCCAGTCTTCCCGGACTACCAAGGACCCGGCCCGCCGAGACCGGGAAGTCTGGGTCCTCCAGAGGACCCGGCCTGTCGTTTTGGACACAGCCATTGGAATGCTAGCGGTTCTGTTGTCTCAGAATGATGACATCATAACATGAGCCGAGCACCAACAGCAAAGGCTGCATTCCATTCCAAAATACCCAAATGCGAACTTCAACATTTAACTTGAAGATTTAAGGTTTAACTTTTACATTTAGATTTAGGATTTAATAATTTAATATATTTTTTAACATTTAAATTGAACATTTAGCAAAAATTACCTAACTGTAAGAACAACGAGTTAAATAACAAAATGTTAGTGGAAAAAATTTAACACTTAAAAAGTGAGATAAATAATGAAAAGAAAATTGTGATTTTTTTTAACATTTCAATTTACACTTAGCACCCCATACATGCTGTTACATAATAACAACAAAATCTATTGATTTTTATGAATCGATTCACATTTTAATCAGTTATAAACCATTGTGAAGCAATTTTTTGATTGTTACATTCCTAATTGATAGTCTTAGCATTTATCATCAATCATTACTCATGCCCAATTTAAATAAAGTATCAACAGCCTTGCTATATTGAGAAAAACAAACTTCAAATACTATATGTTTTTGTATTTGAAGAATAGTTCTCTTCTGTTTCATGTTGTTGCAGTCATGCTTTGTAAACAAACACTGATTAATGGCTGGAAATACCCTGACACTCTTGAGGCGGCTGATGTTTACACTGACCAGGCAGGGCTTCAGGATACTCTGGCATGATGTCATCTCAAACGGTTCGTTTTTCCCACATTCACTCTGAGTTAGATTAATGCGGCACATGTGCTCTCGCACGACTCTGCTGTTCAGCAGTAAGTTGTATTAGCGTATTAAAGCACGACGAGCCCAGCGTAGAGTAAGCTGACACCCACGCGCAGACATCCGGCTGGGAGGGGAGTCCTGTATAGTTGGAGCTCAACACGTGTGCAGTGATGAGAAGTTCAGATGTAAATCTGCTCTTCTCTTTCATAACGTTTTTATTTTATTCACTGCCGTGTTGGACGAAACCGCTTCCTGCTGGTTTTAAGATTCCCAGTAATCTGTAGTGGTTCTTTTGTGTTGACAAGACCACTCCGTGGGGTTCGACAATGACACCCTATTCTAGAAAAGCATGTGTTCTCAACTTAACTTGGACTGCTTCAGACCCCATGCTAATAAAATTGTAGCTGTGAGGGTCTCTGAGGCCCAGTGTGCAAACTGCAGTCAAATAAAAGGAAATTACTGCTGTAAACAAAGAACAGGTTCTTGCTTTGTCTTACGATGTTAAAGAATCTCCAGTGTTGTAAGATTCACAGGCAAGTCTTTGTTTCTAAAAGTAAAAAAAAAATGTTCACACCAGTTGTTTTTGCAATATATATGGGCAATTATGTGACCTGAGAAATGCATGGGCGGATAGCATTTTCACATGGGTTTATGATCCCCCGTGTCTTTGTTTGGCCGCGCTGGACTGGAATATTTTTTTCACTTGAGCGATACAAGATTTTTATCTCACAGTTTGCATTGTTGTTCAAGATTAATTGAATTCTAATTTTAGAGCTTGTCATAGTTTCGACCTAAAAATATTGCAGCTGTCTGCCATGTTTTCTTTAAATACAGACCAATGGACARATGTTATTGTATGTAATGGGAGGAATTTCCAAGAACATTTTTGTCTTTAAGACCCCTGAGGCTTGCATTTCTTCAACTTTAMATGCACCCTTTTCTTTTTTCTCTTTGTCTTTGTATTATATACTTCCTTTCAGCTCCCAATGGCRCTCTTTATTGCATTATTTTTGGCTGATGTTGTGTGTGTATACAGCAGCACACCAGACTCCACATAGACTCACTTTATCCATGTCTGAAGGGGAGGCTGGTCAAACCATTGCTTTAACAGGAGGCAAAAAGCAGAGGAAAAAAAAGACTGAAACAAGCTTAGCTCTAATGGCAGATAATCCAGTTACAAACTTGTGCAACTCGTCAAAAGGTTTGCCTTCCAGGTTGTGGCTTTGTGATGTAAATGGAACGTGGCGCTCTGGGAGCATTGAGGTGAAGGAGGAAGGTTTTTACTTTGGCCGGTGAATGCCACAGACTTGCCCTCTGCTTTGAATCAGATTTGCACACTTTGATTTGAGGCTTCTGTGGGCCTTGCAGCCTCTGGCTACGATGTCATGCGCTGCTGGCGGTGTTACATCTTAACACGTGGAAAGAAGTGGGTAAATTTATTAGCTACTGGGACATCTCGGTTTTGCATGGTGAAATTAAGAAAAGTGGCAGCAACAGCTCTGCTACAGTATATCTCACTGCTGTGTTAGGAGTACACAGATGGTCATTAAATGGGTCTGTCTGCTGTAGTAATTAGCTTTTTACAAGTAAATCATTTTTAAGATACATCTTCCTCTGCCTCTGCTTCTACACACAGCTTTTAAGTTGAAATRTGAAAAAGTATTTTCCTCTAAGACAAGGGTGTCAAACACATTTTCAGCGAGRGCCACATGAGCATTATGGTGGCTCTCAAAGGGCCAGTTGTAATTAACTTTGACGTTTTGTGTTTAACTTCAACTCAACACAAAATGTCAYGTTCCTTGTCTCAATGCCAAYGCAGAGCACTGCTAACAAACAATAAATGAGCTCTACGTGATATTTCATGCATAGAAACAGTGTTTAATACATTCCCTTGTAAGCACTGTAAAGTATTACGTGTACGACTGACTAAATGTGAAATAAATATAACAGATATAATTAAAAGTAAAAGATTTTACTCACTTTTGAGATGTGGTAAGTAGCTGCTGTCTTGAACTTCRAACTCTCCTGCATTTTGGCAGGAAACGCCACTGAAGGGGGTGTTCTACTTGCAAGTGGGAAATTCCCACTTCCCAGTACAACTGGGCGGCTGCAAAATTAGCAGAGGAAAATGCAGCAGTCTGCCTGCTACTTTTAAACCCTGTGCACCTCCACCTAGTGATGGGATGCTGTCATTTAATGGGTAAAATAACCTACATGCTATAGGAGATGTAGTTTTTAGTCAAAACAGCATACGCTTATTTTAAGACATTTTTACATCTTTGAAGCTTTCACATGCCAGGTAAAATGCTGTGGCGGGCCTGCAGCCCTTGAGTTTGACACATGTGCTTTAAGGTTTATAATTTGGTTTTTAGTTTTACCTAAAACGACCCAGATTTGCTTTTAATTTGATTGATTGTATTTTCCTTTTTTCTTCTACGAGGCAAAACTTCAAAGCAGCAGTGAACAGTGTCTCAGTTTCACTTTTTTACTCACTACTCTTCATCTATTGCTTACTAATCCACAGACCACTGAAGGATGAGGAAGGACTTCTGGATGGGCGGATGCAGACCACCTCCAGCCTGGTGAAAGACCTGAACCCCATACAACCTAAACAGCTAGCACAAGGAAGCTACCAGCTTCAGTTTGCTATTCAGCAGCTGCAACAACAGAAACTAAAGTCGCATCAGTTCCTGGACAGACGTCAGGTGTGTAAAAAGACAAAAACCCTTTGGTTTTTTTTTTACTACATTATTTTACCATAGAAAGTAAAACTTTCTTGGTTGCATTTGGTCAGACCATTTTATTGGTGGTCAGCTTTTATCCTCAAGTTGGAACATTTTAGATATTTGGCATTCGCAGATCCTTTTTTTCGATTATGTCCTCACCACCGGCCAGTGTTTAGGAAAAAGTCTGAAGACAGAGTTCTCCTCCAGCTTCTTTTGTTTTTGTTTGATGTCTTACTTTTAAAGCAGTACGGCGTGSAAGAAAGAAAAGAACTGTTAAACTATAACTCAGGAAAACTTGTGTCTGTGCAAAATATTCCCTTACCTAAGGACAGCTCTGTCCAAAAAAACCATAAAATACGCCCACATCAAGAGGAAAGCTTTCATGTTAGCATTTCCAGAGCTATTCTGAGAAAATTATTCCGAACCACTCAACAAAAAGATATTCAGAGGCAATACCTTTCTCAGCAGAAGCTAATTCCTGAAGAGCCAAACATGAGCTTTTGACTCAAGTTTACATTATTTGTCTGAGCTTTTTGACTCAAAATGGGAGGTGAGTAATTTAAAAATGTTGCTCAGGCGATCACTAAAGAGACAGTCTACCAGTAGAGTTTATCTCAGATTACTACATTATTGTTTGTTTTATGTCACAAAAATATTTGAAATGGGTGTCTCTGCAGAAACAATTTAGCAACAAAAATGTCTTCATTGACTATGGGATGGAAGTAATTATCTGCTTTTAAAAGCAGATTAAAAAGTAGAATTTTTAATTTTATTTTGTACTGAGTTATTTTGACATTACAAAAAAAGTCTCTGTCTTTTTGTATTTTTACTTTAAATGAGGATTTGTGTACTTATTCATTTACAAGAAGGTTTTGGGGAGCCATTCGATAGTTGGAGAGAACTGCAGACAGAAAAGTGTAATGGGACAACGTTCAGTGTGGAATGGATGCTCTTGTTCTTTCCAGATGTTTTCTTTCACATCATTGTTTTAATCACCTTGGTTGAAGGTTATTCGATGGAAGATGATATGTCTCTTGGCTCACAGTAGTCAGGTAGACTTACTTAAAACACTTCATAAAAATAATCCTTTACCTTTCATAGTTTTTATCTTCTCCTTTTTGGTTACACACTCACCAGAGCCATTCTCACTTCTCTTACTGTGACATGTTCCAGTGAAATTAAATTGTAAGTGTGCAGGAATTATTTTTACAGTTGGTAATATCTTGTGGTTTTCAGAACTGTGTGGACAGTGAAATACACAACACAGTTTAGAGGCAAACTGTCCAGTTTCTTTGTGCTGTTTTAAAGACACTATTCAGAAATCCTAAAGAAATTCAGCGAATAGCTTTTTAAGAGTCGTCTTGTTGATGCGAAATAATACTATTTTTTCCCCTATTCGTTTTTAATGGATTCAACTAAAAAGGTGAATATGATGTGTATTAAAAAAGATAACAACTGTATGAAGGTTTTTGCAGAGTACATCACCACTGTCGATCCAGGAATTCTTCTTCATTCTTTAGTGGCATTAGAGAAAGTCTTTTTTTCTTGTCGATTTGAATGTACCCATGTGCTCCTGCACTTAAAATTCTGTTTCTTTAGCTTCTTGTCAAATTATTTATGAGTTTGGATCTACTAAAGATGCAAAATGATGTATAATCAAATGATGAATATTGTGAGTGTGCACTGCTGTGAGAAGAACAAGAGACAAGGGTCTGTTCCGGCACTCCAGTCCACGTTCCAGTTACTGGGTGCAGACTGCATGGCTCCTCCGCTGGCTTGGCCCGGGGCCACCTGGCAGCCAAAGAAAGGTGCCCTTCCTGGCCCCGCTCAAACTGAATTGCGGCCATAGGCCCTGCAACCTGGAAACCCAGCTTCTCATTTATCAACACAGAAATTACATCAGATATTTCTTGTCACCTCATCGGCCCTTTGAAAAGCTACGCTGTGAAGCTGGAAAACCATTAGGTTGTTAGATAGCCGTATAAAGCAGCACAGAAAATAGCATAGGCATGAGATCTGGAAGGAATGTATGCAAGCATTCCCCATCGTTGCATGTACAGAGTAAAATGTGGTCTAAGATATTATGTCAGAAAGACAACAGCATATTCCTCCCCCTCCCGAGCCTTTGGAGATCTTTTGCGTAAACAAATAAATGATCTGAAGAAATTTCTTTTTGGTGCAGCCAACTGCAAGAAAAATGTTAGGCTTGTTTTGATACTGGATGGTATTTCAATAAAATCTGCACTAATTCATGCCAAGCACTTGGATATTTCACCTTAAAACACATGGGACACAAAGTTTTCCATGACTAACAAATTCCAAAATGCAATCAAACGTCCATTGCCCTCTTTTGGAGTGGTTTGATTTATTTAGTCCTAAACAGCACTCTGCTGGCATGGATGTGTGCTTTACCTCTCCATCACGTTTGATGAAAATCCAAGTAGTTTAATTTTGGCGTATACTCCTGACAAACAAACATTGGTCATCTCTTTATTTTTATCCTGTTTTTTTTAACATGTTTTCAGTTGCATTGTTCTTGAGGGATGAAGGTGGACAGAAAATCGAGTCTTTTTTCGGTGCTTTGTAGATATTTCTTTAAACTGTGTTTATGTCATATTTTTGTATCGTATTTTTCAACTCTTTCAATTCTCTCTATGACATTTTCTGAACTTTTACGTGACAGAATTCGCAACGGAATTAATAAAATAACTAAAATAAGGTATGGATTTACCAACTACATTTTAAGTTCCGGCTCCAACATGTAAGGCTGGATGGACGAGTCTTCTGTTGTTGACATCTTTTAATTAAATTGTAAATAAAAGTTTCTGCACTGTTATATAGTCGTGTAGCCCTCAAAGGTGCAGTATGTAACTTTTCTAAAAATATATTT